CAAAATTGAACTTTCCCCTTTTAAAGTGTTTGCACCAAATGAAAGCAATACTTGAAACACATGGCAAAGAATGTGGTATGAATCATACTTGAATGAATCATAATTGAAATATTCCAAGTACCTTGAAAACAAATATTAACAAAATGAGTTGCAGTAGTAATATTCCAAGCAAAACCCTGCATGTTCAACTAAACCCTGTGGCAAAGTAAATACAGCAGGAACATATGGGGAAAGGGGAGGGGCAGGGGGGTGGCAAGTGCCCCTAACAGAATGGCTTTAAAAAGGCAATGGGGAAATGAGGAAAGAAGAGATGATACAACAAACCTCCGTGCCCCCGTCCCCCTTATTCAATTCACCAAAAGATGCTCTCCGTTAATGGCTGGACCCACACTACAAGATTGACTACGCTATACAGTAATCAAAACGGAGACTTTGATTTGAGGCTGAGAAAATGTTGAACGAACAGTCACAGCCTAAGAGTCATGCGTGTGCTATTCACCCCATGCCTGAGGTTTAATGAATAGTTTCCCATGGCTGGGGGACTTCAACCAACCTCTAATCCAAACCGAGACAGACGGCTTGACCACTCGTCATCTCGTGGAATACGAGCACAGTCATCTCCTCAATCTCTCAAGCCCTGTACCACCTTATGATTTGTAATGCTCTCCCCCTCTTTCTCCCCCTTCTCTACCTAGTTTGCAGATTGTGCATAACAGTGTCTGTAAAATGAGACTACAATATGCTCTGTACATGCCAGAAACTGACAGATCTAGGCTCTGTTCAAGGCTTTAGAAATTGCGGGTAAAGTGTTAAATTAGAGTATTTGCTTGCAGACTATTCTCTTCCCTCCTCCTCCTCCTCCTTCCCCACGTTTAGTTTTGGAATACAATGTTCCAGTTTATAACTCTAAAGCTGCATGATATCTCTCTCATGCTCTCTCTCTCTCAATATCACTTGCTCTCCCTCTCCCTCCCCTTCTCTTCTACCACATTCTTCCTGTCACTCCATCCACTTCTTTTTTTACTTTCTCTCTCTCTCTCTCCCTCCCTCTTCTCTCTCTCTCTCTTTCTCTCTCTTTCCCTCCCTCTTCCACTCTCTCTTTCTCTCTCCCTCGATGTCTTTCTCTTTCTCTCTCCCTCTCTCTCCTCTCCCCTCGTCCACCTCTTTCATATGAATGAATAGCCCATGCATGACCAAAAAGTACTATGACCCCACGACCTGGGCTGATTCTCAGAAAAATACAACTACTTAAGTTTGGCACAATACCAAGGTCCATGATATCACTCTCAATCACTTAATCCCCAACGAGTATTCATAAATGGCCCATTCTTCGGTTGCAGAGCCTATTGATTGATGTCTGTGAGTGATGTGACAGACAGCGGAGGTACAGGTAGCCTAGACTCTAGGCTCAATGACATTTCCAGGGGCCCCGCTCTCAAAATGTGGGTTAGTGACTTGAGCCTTGAACAAGACTAGCACTCTCAGTCAAAACTTCCCCTTTTAAAGGCTAAGTCCACTCCAACAATAAATTGCTCTGAGTAGATGCAGAAAAACAAGAGAAACAGTGCAAAAAAAATGAGTAAAATCGTATAACTAATAAAGAAGTTATGAATTTTTGAAAGAATATGAAAAAGAATGAAACAATGGAAATCACTACACAAATTGTCAATACCCAATTGTGATGTCATGTCCTCACTATTTATCAATTGCTTTGTATATTCTTATTCCCTTTTTATCCCCCAAACATTTCCCCATGCGTTTGCCCATGTTATATGATTTGTATCATATTGCGTGCATGACATTTCACCAAATCTTTTATGAACTTTGAAGAATTAATACTTTTTTCTGAATATTGTATATTTATAATTATTGATTTTGTTATCAATAGTTTATCAAAATTCACATTTTTCATGATTTAAGTGAACAAATTTACTCTATATTAGTGCATCCACACAAAAAACATATTACTTTCAATATAACTTGGATGTTAGTGTGAGGAAATAAGATTCTTATGGGCAAAATAGGAAATTTATATTATCAATATAAAGAAAACAATAAGTGGATAGTGAGGCAATGACGTCACAGACTCATGAGTGAGTTGCCAATTTTTCTTGTGATTTTCAAAGTATTTCATGTCATTAAAAATGTATATAAGTTTCTTATTAGTTATCTGATTTTGCTCAAACTTTTTTAATTGGTTTGTCTGATTTTCTGCTTCTATTGATAGTAAGTTATTTTTGGAGTGGACTTGCCCTTTAATCCCTGGCTTCCAATAGTGATCCAGGGATGTATAGGATAGGTAAGGCGAACATTCTGACTAAGTGCTTGACTTTTTTTTACCCAGAATGCGGCATATTCTACTTCTTCATTTCATTATCTAAAAAAAAAGCAACAACACATCATCTATCATTAATTTTAACCACTCCAAGATGTCTGGTGGGACGATCAAGTAATTCACTGCCTCTAAAAAACAGTCATGAGTTTATTACGTATCCAAATGTAATATAGTACAATGCAAAAAGAACAAAGTATGACTATCACCAACTTCTAATATATATTCTATATTTAGTTGATTTATTTATTTATTGATTGATTTTTCTCTTTCTTTCTTTCTTCTTCTTATTTTTTGGGGGAAGGGGGGGGGGGCAAAATTAGAGTCTTGCACAATGTCACATTGTCAGATTGGTTGCAGGATGAGAGAGAGAGAGGTATTATAAGCTTAATGCCCTCCCACATTGTCAAGCCTTAAGTGGGATGGTATTGGTAAGTGATCTAGATCTAATGAGGGATAATAAGAGGCTACAATTTAATCCTTAAGAGTTCTGTTGATAAAGAGCCCCCTTTTGTCTGCGTATATTGATTGGCATTTCCCAAATTCCACAGACCATGTGCCCTCACTTCCTTTTCGCTCTATCGATCATTGATTGCTCAGCCCTCAAATCTCATTCTTAGATCTTAACTGGCTGGTTTCATTACTCCAAACTTTCTTCACACAAAGCTTTCTATAATTTGTAAATCCCTTGGA